CGCCGTCCAGTAGTGATCCAACCGCCCGGGGGTTCCTCATACCATCAATCCATACAACATCACATACATTCATACATAGCACAACGCGTGCCTGCACCCTTACAGGCGGTGGGATGCCTCACACACATATCGCGCATACTAGAAAATTAACTAAATAATAACCTCAAATGAAAAGCGTAAACTAAAAAGACCTCGACAAAGATTTTACCCCCTTTACACTCACCTCAACTAATTCGTCATCTACGTGTATCGTCTATCTTGGACCCTTACACGCCTAAGGTTGCATTCCACCGTTCCATCTTGTTTTTGGATTCTTTCTCTTGGATGAGTCTACCTAAGAAATACCAAAGGCAAGGAGAAACGGTTGCTTCTCTCGGCTGTCCCGACCACGATACTCACTGGGCATTAGGGAATTGGCTCCAACACCCGACGACTGCCGCTAGCTTCCACCTTTATCCACGATGCAACTATGACACCAACTGGCTTCTCCCTGCAGAGATGGGCGGCGATGGATTTGGTCTTGCGGGGAGGGTGGAGTGGAGTGCCGCCTCGCCTTTATTTTCCTCCTTCTTCTCGCTGCCGAGGTTAAAGTGAGGGGTGGGGATTGTATGGGCAAAAGTTGGAATTTGGGAAATAATTGAGGGCCGCTCGGCCCTCTAGGTCTGTATAATTTTTTTTAATTATAGTAATAATAATTGTAACTCTTAGTACTTAACCGCCAATCCACCCGATCACGAATTAAGGTCGAACCTAAATCTAAATTAGTGGGGTGTTACAACCCCTGCGCTGTTCTTCAAGGCAAAGATGCGGTTTTTCCTCCGCCTACTAATGGTCCGAGAGTGGAAGTATCGAGTGTTCCTATCAGCTGTGACGATCCACTCCAAGTTTGATTTTTGGCACCAGAGAAGCTCCTCTTGAAGAAGAACATCTTCCAGTTCATCACATGCCTATCGAAGCCTCGAGCCATCGTCATCTCCACCGCCCCGTTGCTCTAATCTCCCAATCCTGTTGAGCAATTTATTCTTCCTTTGCAAAAAATTACCAAACTCATGTTGGTTCCAATGCGTAGCCTCCCCGGTAAATTCTGCGATGGCTGAAACTAGATTAGTGCCTCGTGCCCAGGCTCTCTCCATCATACCCTTAAACCCCTCATGGGTTATCCAAAGCCTCCAAGAACTTAAAGGGCTTAGGGCCGACATGATGGAAAGAAGGATCCACTGTTATAAGAATTGGTCTATGGTCACTTCGGATCCTATGAAGGTGACTAACCAGCGTGTCCGAGAAGATGCTAGACCATGTTGAGTTCACTAAGCTTCTATCTAGGCACTCCTTAACACCCGATCGAAACCACGTATATGGAGGCCCTATGAAACCCAAATCAATCAACCCCGTATCCAATAAGCAATCCTAAAATTCTCGAGCACGAGCAGCATCGAAGGGTGCACCATCCAAGTTAATCGGCATGTTGGAGGATCGAGTTAAAATCCAAAGCCAATATCCACGGCTCTGTAATCTCTTCCGCCATCACGCGAAGGGAGTTCCACAGCTCACGTTGTCGCACTAGCACGGGATTTGCATAGACTGCTATCAGTAACCAGTGTGCTTGCTCATATTGGACTCAGATATGTAGAAACTCAGCAGCTCTATCAGATTTCGTGATCGTGACCATGATAGAATCCCAAACCACCCAAATACATCATGAATACCCTATCGCATCCACCACCAGGTTTACATCAAACCCCAGCTCATGAATCACTTCTTCGGCCCTGCTTCCACTAATTCTAGGTTCCACTAGAATGGTAATACTCAGACGATTCTTTCTACGATACTCCTTAAACACTCTCAGGAAGCGTTTGCTCCCTGCACCCCTACAATTCCATACAAAGACTTTGATCATTGAAAACAAGGAATAGTAGGTCATGGTTGCTTCATCGGGAGTTAGACAGGAGATGCCTCGGAGCCGAGGCCATCTACCATCTTCACTACTGCTTCATAAGGAAGAATTTCCTCTCTCACGTTGGTCTCATGCATGCAACGTGGTGGTGGGTTGAGGTCAGTGTGTATGTCGGGCGGTTTCCCACGATGACCCCATTCCTTCCGTTGCAATACCTCCTTACCTCCCTCGGAGCTTGAGTATTCTCCTGTTGAGGGGTTTTCTGTGTGACCCGGTCGCTGTTCGGTCGTCTTCGTCGTCAGCCTACTAGGGCCATCACTAGCCTAGTGTTGTCCCGCCAGTGCTTTTGGCACCGTTGAGGTAGAGTCTCCTTGTTTCTCTGTCACCTTAACTCCTATCTCCCGTGACATAGTTTCTTTCCCCTTCCTCTTTCCATCATGATTTACCCTCTGGTTCTGACTCGAGATATTTTCCTGAGCAGTCACCGTTGGTTAAATCACATCCGTGGTATCCTTCATCATCTCTTCAACCTCCTGAGCATTGAAACGGGATCCTCCTTTATAGTTACGATCGGGCTCTTTATCAGTCTTCTTCTCATGGTTGGAACTCGGCTTGCGGGTAGGGGTGGGCATTCGGTTCGGTAAACCCGAACCGAACCGGACCGAACCGAGTTTCAAGCGAACCGAAACCGAAATACTGTTGTTCGGTTCGGAAATCGGAAGAGGAATTTACCTAATTCGGAAGTCAAGGTTGTAACGACCGAACCGAGTTCCCGAATTTCGAACCGACCAACCGAAATTCTACTCACAATCTCCCCAACCCAAACCCCAAAGCCCAACCAAAACCCAGCCCAGTACATACACAGCCCAGTTCATACACAAATACAAAGCCCAAACTCTCCCCCAACCCTAACTCCCTTAGCCTAAATCTAACCAACCAACAAAATACTCAGCCGCCGCCGGTAGCCTTCTTCCATGGTTGAGCTCCCTTACCTGAAACTTGATACCAAAACTCAAATCCAAATCCAAACCTAAAACCCACATACATCAAAATCAGTACTGATAATCAAACGAGGAACCCACATGCATGTCGAAAAGATCTTACCCAATTCTAGATCTGACTCCCTCCATTGCCGGCGCCGTCGACGCGATTGGACCACCGCCTCCCCTGCCGCCAGTTATGCCTGCCCCATCTCCACATGCCGAGCAATCTCTTCTTCCTCTTGTCGCCGCCGCCCATTAGCGTCACCCCACCAAGGAAAAATGAGACGAACAGATTTGGGGCTAGAGAGAAGGTAAAGAAGAAGTGTTGTTTTAGATGGGGGAGCTGGGCGTCAATAGGAGCGGAGAGCGACCTCCGGGGGAGCCGTCGACGTTTGATGGAGCTAGATACCCAGATCTCATGTTGCGGCAGAAGAGGGGAGAAGGAAGTAGGGGAGAGGACCACCGCAGCACCGCTGCTCGTCGCTGAGTCGGGAGACGGAGGAGATACCACCATCGCAGCACCGCTCCTTTCTTCTCTGCATCGACTGATTTTGTTGGAAGGGGGAGGGAGAGAGAGAGAGAGAGATTTGATCGAAATGGGGAAACGGCGAGGGTTAGGGTATGTGGGACTGGGAGAGAGAGAGTTGGTTTATAAAGCTTCGGTTTTGACCATTCGAACCGAGCCGAACCGAATTACAACTCGGTTCGAATTCGGTCGGGGTCTTGGGAAACTCGGAAATTCGGGATGTTCTGGTTCGGTTCAAACCGAACCGACCGAACGCCCACCCCTACTTGCGGGTATGTGGCTTCTTCTTAGCAATCATCCACTCTCCGTATATTGTTTCGGGTTCCGTCACTTTCGTAGTCACAGGAGTTGCCATCACTTCCTCCGTCTCCATTTCCGCAGTGGGCACCGTACAGTAACATTTGGTTCAGTCAAAATATGTCCCGCAATTAAAAAAAATCTTTTCCAGTCCCTCGTAATGGATACATTTCTTCCAATGGATTGTAAACTGTGACATCAACGGCTTGGTGATATCAACTTGTACACATACATGTGCATAGTTACTCCGAGCTCCTGAAATGGTAGCATGATCAACCCTCAGTGGTTTCCCTATCCGCTGGCCAATCTTCATCACCGCCATCGGGTGGAAATAGTGTATCGGCAGCTCCAGAAGTCGAGCCCACACCAGGGTGGACAATATCTCATGCTCATAGGGATCAAAATCCTTCGTTCACGCATGCACTGCCAGGTAATTATCTCCCACCAGCCACGGTCCCCCTGTCACTGCTCGTTCATAGTCTATCCCACTTGTGAATCGGACTAGGAAGTACCCGTTCTTAGCTGACGTAACTTGAATTGATCCCGCCTTCACCCAAATACCTTGTAATCGCTTTAACATCAAGGTGTAAGAAACTATTCGTCCCAACGCTTTGACCACTAGGGCGGATCGCCACTGGCGACATAATAGTCTCTCCTCAGCAGCAGTGTAGTGTATTGATGGGCATTTGGGATCCTCGATACCAACATCACCCTCCTCCAACCCGTCCTCATGCATAGCTGCCGATACGTCCTCGAAGTTCGAGTCCTCCACGTACAACATCTCTGTTCGAACTGCCTCGCTAAACAGCCGTCTAGCCGCCCCTGTTCCAGAGCCCCAGACCGAAGGACTGGTATTCCTCGAGGGAGGCATGATCGTGGAAGTCTTCTCCCATCTCTCCCGATGGCTCCTTCTCTCCGCCTACGACACCTGAACTTGTCACCGTCTGCTTCACTCTCTTTTTTGTTTGTTGCGTCTCACGGTCGCCCTTAGGGTTTGGCGATGAGGACGCGGATGGGGGTCGACTTTTGGCCGGCAATCGTCTTCGGTTGCATGGTGACGTCCTGATCCTCCCCGGCCAGCGGTGTAGAAACCGCAGGCATGGGAAGCGAAAAAGCGAAACCCTAGATCACCGACAAAGTCAAAACCCTCACAGCTCCGAGAAAAGCGGAGCTCAAAAGTTACTAACGTATGATTTGCCAATTTAGCAGGAGAGAGGAGCTTAATGTGCATCTTTTAATTGTAAAAAAAAAGTGCATCTCTTAAGCTGTCGAAATTTCTGAAGTGACAGGTTAGGCTTTCTGAAAGCCCAATGTAGATCCGTCACGAAGTAGGCCCATTACAAACAGTACGACGTCGTTAGGCAAACAATACACCAACGACCAACCTCTCGCTTGACTTTCCCCACCGGCCACCAGTCCTCCCTGTCTCTTACAGCGCCTCCGTCTTCTTCGTCGCCGATATCAGATTCAGCGCTAAATCCCGCGTGAGAGAAGCTCGATTGCTCGGAATATTGATCCAGCGGAGCTCATCATCGTCGCAAGTTGCAGAGCGCTCACAGGTAAGATCCGTACTCCATTCTTGTCCAGCAATCCAATCAGATTGTGTTTCTCGGATTAGTTCGCGGATCAAACTTTGTTTCATTTCGAACAATTCCACGCCATAACTAGGTCAATTGTTCCTGGATTCCTTCGATTGCTTAAAATTTTCAAATCGATCCGCTTCTCTTCTGTAGATTGACGGCCAAGGAGAAGAATGCAGTTCTTCGGAGGCTCCGACATCAGTCCATCCCCGCCAGCGCCCACCGCGCCGGGGAATAATGCACACATGATATATGTATTCAACAGGAACGGCGTGTGCTTGCTGTACAAGGAGTGGAATCGGCCGCTTCACACACTGAATGAGCAACAGGACCACAAGCTCATGTTCGGTTTGCTCTTCTCCCTCAAGTCCTTGACCGCCAAGATGGATCCCACGAGGTTTTGCTTTCTTCTTTTAGGGTTTTCGGATTGCAGTGTTTCTGTTGCTAGATGTATCCAGCTCTCTGAACTCTGTCGATTTGCTTGTTTGGTTATGTGGACAGTGCTGATAAAGGGAACCTTGGAGTTCCTCAGTTACCTGGTCAGGGGTGCTCTTTTCACAGCTTTCGTACCAATACCTATAAGCTTAGTTTCATGGAAACTCCTTCTGGGATAAAGGTGAATACTCTCTGCTCTTTCCATCTGATGTTGGTTTTGCAGTGTCATTGTTGAGAATCTCATTTTGTCAGCTGGAGCGATTCATTATTGGTCTAATTCAAGTTCTCGAATTAGGATCTATCGAGGACGGAGCATTGTCTATTCCCATATTGCTTGATGTTTACCTGTGTTCTTTCTCTTTTGTGTTGATAATTTTTTCAGATAATCTTGGTAACTCATCCTAAAACTGGTGATCTAAGGGACTCGCTCAAGTACATTTACAACTTGTATGTGGAATATGTTGTGAAGAACCCACTGTACACTCCTGGAGCCCCTGTCAGGTAACGAATTCATGCCACTCGTCATTTTCATGGTGCGATAATCTGTTTCCGCTTCTGACGGGATTTGATCGATCCTCTAGGCAGAGGAATTGTAGCTTTGAATGTGAATTGAATTGTAATGATGACAAGAGCTTGTGGTACAACCATGCGCAATTAGGGGGAAACTGCTAAATTTGATTACAAGAAGCTGTGGAATGATTGTTGCAGCTAACTGGAAAACCATATAATCTTAAATCTTTTTGGGTTAGACACTTAGACTACATTACTAGGGCTCCGTAGAGATCAGCTCAAAATGACAAAATGAGGGATGTTGTGTAATGAAGCACTTCATTTGAGATGGTATGATCGATGCTCACAGTTGACTGTATTTCTCTGCGTAGGTGCGAGCTTTTCAACACTGCTCTTGACCAATACGTAAGAAGCATCGCTTAAACAACCACGCAGTGGAAGTAGCTGCCATCCAAATTGTAGTGGATCATACATCACTCTGGCTCTGCTATTCCTCGGTAGCGGAAAACAAGTAGAAATTTGGTTCTGAAGCAGCTAGTTCCCTGGACCCGACCTCTTTGGAAGCTAGGAGTCAAGAACTTGCTGCAGATAGTTTGTCCCCTCTTTTGACATCTCTGATGCATACGTTTATGTAAGAGTATTGTGCCTGCTGCTGTAAGCAGGTAGGCTTATTTGCGTTATTGCCTTTGTGAATCCATTGTTCTCGGTGACATTGCTCTGTTATCACTTTAGATGATCCTCTTGATGATTTAATGAAGCGCCACCAACTGATCTTAGAATGTGGTTAAGGTAAAACAGAGCTGGCACACATTTCAAATTCTTGGTACCATCATGAATCATATTTTTTTCACGAATGGTATAAAAGACAAAAGGTTAACGCAACTTTTCCTTTTGACAGACAGGATGATTATGAGCGCATATATGTGAATGAAAAACGACACACAGATCAGACGACACCCAGCACCCTTTGATTGACATTAATCTGCTCCAAGATAATGCTGGATATGGAATCTTTTACTTTAATAATTTTCCCGCCCGCCACAAGTTCGTCCATTTTGTTGTTTTCCGCGACCAAATTACTTTCCCCTGCCTCCACAAAAACTAAAGAGGCTGATCTGAAATTCAATCGATCCGCAAACATGGGAGAAGAAGAAGCCATAGTGCTTTACCCATCGCCGGCGATAGGCCACCTGATATCCATGATAGAGCTGGGCCGCCTCATCTTGACCCACCGTCCTTCCTTCTCCATCCACATCGTCCTCCCTCCGGCACCCTACCAAGCCGACGCCACCTTGCCCTACATCGCCGCCGTCTCCGCCTCCACTCCCTCCATCACCTTCCACCGCCTCCCACCTCCTCCGGCCACCACGGTCTTTCCCGAGTCACCTCACCACGAGATCCTCGTGCTCGAGACCCTCCGCCTCAGCCTCCCCCACCTCCACCGCACCCTCGAACAAATAATCTCCCAATCCGCCGTCGTACACGCTCTAATCCTCGACTTTTTCAGCACTGCCGCACTCTCCGTCGCTGCCGAACTCAACATCCCCGGGTACCACTTCTCCACCTCCGGCGCCGCCTGCCTCGGGTTCAGCCTCTACCTCCCAACCCTCCACAAAACTCAACCCAAAAGCTTCGGAGAACTCGGCCGTACGGTCCTCGAGATTCCCGGAGCTCCGAAGCTGCCGGCGTCTGAGGTCCCGAAGATTCTCCTCGACCGGGACGACGAAGTTTACCGGTACTTCCTTGAGTTCACCGCGCGCTTGCCGGAATCTGCCGGACTGATAGTCAACACGTTCGACGAGCTGGAGGGTGAGGCGGTGAAAGCGATTTCCGCCGGGCTGTGCCTTCCCGACGGCCGCCCCACTCCGCCGCTGTACTGCATCGGACCGCTGATCGGCGACGGCGGGGGGAGGAAGGAAGCTGGTGGGTCCGGCGTCGATTGTCTTGCCTGGCTCGATTCCCAGCCGAAACGGAGCGTCGTTTTCCTGTGCTTCGGTAGTCTGGGGATATTTTCCCGGGAGCAACTGAGAGAGATTGCTATTGGCCTGGAGAAAAGTGGGCAGCGTTTTCTATGGGTCATGCGGGATCCACCGTCGGGCGGGGACAAGCGAAACGTTGTCGTTTCGGTGAAGGATCCGGACTTGTCGCTGGAGGGCCTGCTTCTGGAAGGGTTTCTGGAGCGGACGAAAGGGAGGGGACACGTGGTGAAGTCGTGGGCCCCGCAAGTAGATGTTCTGGGTCACGAGTCGATAGGCGGATTCGTGACCCACTGCGGATGGAACTCAGTGCTGGAAGCGGTTCGAGCCGGGGTGCCGATGGTGGCGTGGCCGCTCTACGCAGAGCAGAAGTTCAATCGAGTGCTACTTGTGGAGGAGATTCGGATTGCGTTGCCAATGGTGGAGCGCGATGAGAGCGGGTTTGTGGATGCAGCAGAGGTGGAGCGGCGGGTCAAGGAGTTGATGGAAGTGGATGGTCCAGGGGACCTGGTGAGGCGGAGGATGGGCGAAATGAAGAATGCATCGGAGGATGCACTAAGAAACCATGGTACTTCTCGTGTCGAGTTGTTGCGACTCCTTGACTCATGGAGGAGATAATGAGTTCTCATATTGGAATGTTGGGTTAAAAAAGGGGGTTCATGCATTGGATGAATTGTGGGTATGACTTGGTTTAATAATCTATTTTATATTTTACTGTTCAATTCAATTGAGTATTTTTCATACATGTTTTAATTGTATAATAAATTGAATAGGGAGGTTTAATATTCAGTGATGAACCTATTGAATAACAAAATCGGGATTTTAGTGTTACTATGACATTAATGTTGAAAAGCCTTTTTCTGTAGTCGGCAATGTTATCAAAATCGAGATTTTAGGTAAAATCGAATACTGAGATAAAATCGGAATCGTAAATTAAAGTCGTAAGATTTTAAGGTTCATATTAAAATTAAAACACTTTATATACCAATAGTAATAACAAGGCATATCCTGAATAACGGTCAATCACATATCACTTAATTAACTCTCAAGATAAGTTTGTTTACTAAGCACAAACAAATCCATATATTTGTTCTTGCAGATAACATAAACACAAAAATGAGCAACCTCATTTCTCATAAAAATAACTTAAACTAGTTAATAGCTAATATTAACATAGGATTGTAATGATGAACATGAACATCTAAGTCCTCAACATCATCATCCTCACCCTCACTCCCATCCTCGTAAAATCCATCTATATGCTTGAGCAAAATAACCATTATTATCAGACTCACTTGAAGTACTTTCACTACCAACCATATTTTGTTGACTGCCATCATCCGAAAAAGTTAACCGTTGGTTGATACATTCTTTCTTGACAGAAAGAAGGTCAAGGATGTTGGCGCTAAAGGTTTGGGAGATGAAGGAAAGGTTGCGAGGGGATGGGATTAGGCTAATTGTGAGGGTGATGGGGGTAACAAACTAACAAGCTAATTGGAAGGGTGATGGGTGAAATCAGTGCTGGAAGGAGTTGTTCGTTGATGTGAGGAAGATGAAGAAATGAGGAAGAGAACGCGAACCAATTGAGTTTGCTTATCGGGTCGAGAGAAATGAACTTGACATGATTCCTAGGCCAAATACGACGCCACTGGCCTTATTTTGCTCCAATTAACATGAACTTTGAAATCGTACAAAATGGTATCAATCTGAGTTTGCTTAAGGTTTTAAATCGGGATTTTTTGGGATTTTAAGGTTCAATGATTTTAGTAGTCAAATCAGGATCGGAACCTATAGGTGAGATCGTAAAATCGTAAGATTTTATGATTAAAACGGGATTTTGACTACACTGGTGGTCGAGTAGTTAGCTTAGTGATAAGGCCGAATACCAAAAACTGATGCTAGTAGCCCAACATGTAATTGGGCGAGAATGGGTCATTGGCCCTTCATTTGTTAATGGCCGAGAGGCAAAGACGTGGGGTAAAATGGGCCTTCCACCATGAGAGTATATGTCGATAGACGCAAAAAGTCACAACAAATCTCCAACATTGTAAATCTCTTTTATCTATTACATTATTTAAAAATTAAAAATAACTTACAGAGTAAGTAAGTGTTCAGAATGGCATGAAAATACTAGAAATGTGTGCTCACTATTATGGCATATATAGTTGATACTATTTTTTATTTTCATACATATTAGTATAAAACAAAGGTGTGTACGGAATTTATGATATATTTTATGACTGTTGAGAGTGTTGTTAGCAAGGCCCAAAACATCTGGCCCAAGGTAAAAGCCCAATGGGTTGAGAGAAAAGCTTAACCTGATTATGGCTCAATAATGAGGTGATTGGCCAGGGTGTGTGGCGGGAAAGAAGTACGACAAGCCGTTACTCCCCATCGTGCGCCTATTTAGTTTCTAATAAAGCTGACAAGTTGTCGGGGGCCCATAAGTGTTTTTAAGTACGGAGCATTAAATAAAGTGTTGAAGTATGGGGTGACATCAGGGAGTTGGTCCAGACCTCCCCGAGTATAAATAGTGATCAGTGAGTAACATTTATGAAGGTTGGATTCTCTTACTACATCCTCACTACTTACTTCTGTCTCTAGAAAAACTCCTGACTTGATCATAGGAGGACTAACGGGCTAAGGGAGGCCACAGTTCGCCATATGTGCAGGGACAGGGCGCCATCTGGGGAGCGGGAAGTGGCACATGGCGAGGGACCACATAGTTTTCTAGCTCAAAAAATTGGCACACCAAGTTGGGGGAGGTGGGGCGTAAAAGGATTTTTTATTAGTGACATGGAAGAGTTGAGAAACGAGAGTGGAGGAGAGGTAAACCCCATGAAAGAATGGACAGAGCAAGAATCGATTGAGTGGGCACGCAACTGCAATGGGGAAGTGAAAGATGACTCAAATGCGTCATGGCACAGAAGACGCTTCACTAACTAGGAAGGACTTGATTTAGATCATTGAAGACCAAGACAAGACAATTGAAATCCTAAGAAAGGAGGTAAAGGCACCACAGAAAAGGGAGGCGCATACCACAAGCCCAACATCAATGAAATGAGAAAGAGTGTTAGATGCGGAAGGGAAATCCAACCATTTCAGGTTCCCAAACGTGATGGGACACTTGACGAACATTTGGCGTCGGATTTTGATAAGCATAACGGGTGGGTACAGAAACGCACTGATGTGAGAAATCAAAGTTATAATCCTAGGATGTCATACGGTCGTATTCCACAGGATCTTCTAATGCATAAATACTCACACCATACCTACTATGACACACAAAATAAGAGGGGTTTTTGGGTTTTTCATTCGAGTAACAAGCAAGGAAAAGTAAAACAAAAAGAGTAAAGTTGTTTAGGGGGTTTCAAGTTATAGATGCATAAAAGTAAAGATACGTTATTTTATAAGAAAGTATCCCGAATATCATCATGCATACTAAGGCTCAATCATATCATCCATCAACGGCTCATCTATAGCATCACTCTATCACTTCCATTAAGGCCATTCTCTACTCGTGCATGCGCCTCTTGCGATAGATATTTAACAAGCTAATGTGTGCTTTAGATTCATGCCATTACCTAATTGATGAAGAACAATGAAGTTAGGATAACACATGATTAAGTGTGGGCCTCTTAAGCCATAATTAACGGTATGTAGCATCGATGATCTAACAATCAAACATTGACACTGCTCGAGGTATATATGGTTGATCATTCCCTCTATACTCATGTAGCATCATTCCCTCTATATATGAGTTCACATCCTCATACAATAAATTCAAACTTGCAATATTGAAGAGAAGGAGGGCGTACCAACATCGATAATAAAAGCAGCTCCCTAACTGCACCCTCTTCTATGAAAGCTAAGTTCTTATTCGAGCAGGGTATACATAACTTTAAATGTAGTTGTGTAGCCTATTGAAATAATGATTCTAGCCCTCTATTCATGGGTGGGAGGAGGGGTAAACCTCATCCAAAACACTCCTAAACCAGCTAGGATATGGTTTTTTTGACTTAAGGCCGAAGTCATGGCCCAAAGATTTGATTTTGGGCTTGGGCCTCTTGGTGGCGGTAGTGCCTCAATTAGAAACACCAGCCTTTTCTTTTGGGTTGGCCTTCTTGGACCATAGACAACCTCTTATGAAGATTTGGGCCCTATTCTTCCAGATCTCCATGTGTAACAGTTGGACTTGTTACTGGGTCGCTGCTAGTTTCTACTTCTGCTTGGTACGAGTCTTCTTCAATTGGGCTTTTCTTGGACCCTACTTGTGGTTACTAGTGGACTTCTCTATCATTGGACCTTATCTTTATCACGAAAACTCCATATACTTCCTTTTTAGCTCATTTGGTCCTCCAAAGTTGTCCAATGACTCGCTCCTACCGTCACTCTAAAAAATGACCAAGTGTAACCACCTCCTAAAGCGTAGTATATCGGGTTTGAGTTTTAATGTCAACCCGGGTCCTAAGTGTGCTGACTACTCCGTGAGTTCTTATTATTTAGCGGTGAAACTTTAGTGAAGGTCCAAACAAGCCAAGCAAAGCAAAGTAAAAAGGTTGTTTTCAAGTCGAGAGAGGTCAACCGGATATGGTTCCCCCTAGACTACAGTTAAGCCGGATTGTAATTTACCAAGTTCAATTTCAATGATAGTTATACTGCGGGAGGTTCTTAAACAGTCTGAAGTCTCGACTAAAGGTCTCTAGACCCTCTCAATCCGAGTCCCCAGCGGGCGACTAACCTCCACCGGAGTAAACAGATTGAGGCCCTAACGAACTAAACCTCCACTACCGGAGTAAATCCGGTACAGAATAGTGAATCGACTCCTCGACTAAAGTCGTCAATTCACTACCTTCAATCAAGGATGCTCTATCAACCTACGCAGATATTCTCATTCTAGGTCAAAGCAGAAATAACAGGAATTTGATCAGGATTCATGCCATTCAAAAATTCAAACCTCAATTGAATATAATCAAATCATAGAATCTGTAATTGGGTTCATACAATCAGACTTAACATACAAATCTAGTGTTCTTCATACCCAGGTGAATAGGAAAGTTACTCCATAGAGAGAGATGGGAAATCTAGCTCAGATGCGGAAACCATAGTATGAAGGATGATAATCTGCTTCTGGTACTCAACCAGATCTTCTCCAAGCTCAAGCCGGGCTCCAATGGTGATGGAGATCGATCTAGGACACTTCCAGAATCAGGTTCGTCACTTTCTCTCTCAAGGTTGCACTTTCTCTCTAAAACTCGGAACCCCTCAATTTTGACCTTCTTTTCACTTAAGAAGCTGTTTGTCGCGATCCCCGGTCTGAATACCCGGTCGGGTATTTTGGGTGGCGACCGGGGATATTCAAAACGCAGCGTGTGTGATAGGAAAAATCCCCGGTCAAGTCCAGGAATCCCCGACCGAGGATTTTAGGCTCACGGCCGGGGCCTCCTCTGCTTCTCATCGTCCAAAACTCTAATTACCCGGTCTGTCCAAATAATACCCGGCCGGGTATTTCTGCTCATGGCCGGGTATTTTGCTCCTCCAGCACACTTCGGCCCAAACGTGCTCCTTTCGACCCGAAACTCGTTTCTTCGCCTCGATTCCAACGCCAAGTCCTGAAA